GGGAAGGGAAATGGACGGACCAAGTCCTGACACGGGGGCCAGGAAATGGACGGACCAAGTCCTGACACAGGGGCCGGGAAGGGAAATGGACGGACCAAGTCCTGACACGGGGGCCAGGAAATGGACGGACCAAGTCCTGACACAGGGGCCGGGAAGGGAAATGGACGGACCAAGTCCTGACACGGGGGCCGGGAAGACTGGCTGCCACCGCAGCGTCTTCATCTCTGCCTTTCCTGGCTACTTTTTATAGCTTCTAAGTTTTATTGAGTAGATATTGCTCTATAATCAAAGGAGGAAACAGAAATTAGACAGAACATTAAGAGCAAACATCTTGAGTCTGGATCAGCTCGCGGGTGGAGGAGAAAGCAGCCCGGCAGTGAAGACGTCCGTCTGAGCACAAAGGATGTCAGACAGCTGTTCTCCATCCCGACCCAAGACAGAAGAAAGCGGAAGTGGGTGTTAGCCGCAGGAGGGGGGCTGCAAGTTAAATATAGGGAAGAATTTCCTGAAGTGAGGGTGTTTAAACTCTGGAATGAGTTATGGAAGGAGCCTGTCCCCCAAGGTCTTTTAAAGTTCCACAGATGCCCGTATACCTTGTGTGTTCCCGTCTAGAGACAGGGATGGCCCGTCAAGGCTCCTTCTGAGTAAATAACTCCAGTAAAACTTTCTTTTTCATTCACTTTCAGCCAGGTCCAGCTCTTTGTGTTAGGATGCCAGCCCAGAGCCACACTCTCAAAGGCAAGCCCATGTGACACTTCAGTAGTACTCTTGAGACTTCAAAGGCAATGCCATTTGATCTAAATTTAAAGACTATCATCAGCTAGCTGTGTTTTGTGTGTTCCTCGGAAGTCACCTGCCAGAGTCCAGTTGTGAATTTGGGATAAGCATGACTAAGGGAAGGGATGAGGGGAGACGGGTTTGTAGAAATAATGAGACTTTTAAACATTCCTACGACTGTTGCATCGATGTGATTCAAAGTGCACTGCTTGCTTACTGCACCCACACAGTAAACAATTTATTATAACTTTACCAAAATATCTTTTCCTAAGTGTGCCAAACCTAAAGTCAGCCTGGTAGTGCAAACCTGTTACCCCAGCACCTGGAGAGGGGTGAGGCAGGAGATCAAGCGTTTAAGGACAGGTTGGGCCACACCAGACCTCCTGAGAGCAGGCACCCACGTGCTAAAGTTCCTAGGTAACCATCTTTTCCCTATTACTTCTAATTAAAGCAGCCGAGCTCTCGATTTTCTACACATGCAAAGGAAAGCAAGATAGCAGCGCATGGGAGGCAGAGGCAGGAGGATTGCTGCTAGTTCAAGAGTAGACTACCACCCCTGGGGGAAAAAGGAAAGGAAGAGTGGATAAAAAAAGATCAGGGAGGATGGGGAATAGGGAGGATGAGGATCAGGGAGGATGAGGATCGTGGAGGATGGGGAGCAAGACAGCAAAGATGTGGAGAGTCATCAGTGAAGGAAAGAGGCCTCTACCGTTAATGTCAGGCCCCGAGTCAAGCCACAGCCAGTGAAGGGCATGGCCTTCGAGACATTTAATTTGTCTCAGCTGCTTTGGATTCAAAGCCAAACTGATGTGAACCAGGCCCAGGCAGTACAAACTTTGTTTTTAAATTGCCTTCATCTCTTGAACAGGAGACACTTGGTGAATTGTCAAACGCAATGGAATCTACTTACTCCATTGTTGCTTCTTTTGTTTTGTTTTCTTCCAGACAGGGTTTCTCTATGTAGCCCTGACTGTCCTGGGATTGCTTTGCAGTTCAGAGTGGCCTCAAATTCACAGAGATCCACCTGCCTCTGCCTCCCAGGTGCTGGGATTAAAGGTGTGCGCCACCACCGCTTAGCCACTCCATTCCTAATATTTTATTTATGTGTTTGTGAGTGAGTGCAGCACCTACAGCCAAAGGAGGGTGCCAGTCTCCTGGAGCTGGAGCCAACAGGCCGTTGTGAGCTGCCCAGGGTGGGTGCTGGGAACCGAACTTGGATCCCCTGATACAGAAACGAGTGCTCTTAACTGCTAAGCCATCTCTCTAGCCCAACTTACTGTTTTCTATAGTTCTTTTTGGCTTATAACCCCTTTGGTAGACATAGTTCATTGGCTCCACACACCTATGCTGGGGAAGCAGGGCTGGTGCTATTAATGCCATTAGAAATAACTCGTTCTTAAAAATGTTTATGAAATTAAAGTGATACAGCAGAAACTGACACCCGCATTTTCTGACCCTTGAGCTGGGTCCTCTCTGTTGTTTCACATTGTGTTGCATGGAGACGACAGAGAACTTATGCTTTATGCGCAGGAAAAATTAAATTTAGAGTAAGAATTTCCTTGAATAAAGCAGGACAGACGGCTGAGACCACGTTTCTGTCTAAAGAAGCACAGCGCTCACGAGATGAAGGCTACAGCTGAGACCACGTTTCTGTCTAAAGAACCACAGCGCTCACGAGATGAAGGCTACAGGTGAGTGCACCTGAGTCAGCACCCTGCGCCTCCTCCCGCTTCCTAACTACAGAACAGGACTGGATGCTTGGATTTTGGGGTTAGAATTCCCACAGTTTTGGCAAAGCTTTATGAGGTGCCTGGGTCAGCTTCCACCAGAACACTGCCTGTATCTTTCTAGAAGAGACTCTGGATTGGCCCCTGGTGGGGCGTATCCTTTAGGGAGATACTCTCGGGAAGCTAACGGGTGTCCAAACAATGGTGATATGGTGTTGGGGGCTGGAGAGGGTGGGGGAAGCACAGAGCAGACACTAGCAAGCATGGGGCATCGTGGTGCATGACAAGAACTGTTCTGTGTCATCACTGACTGTCATGTGACCCTGACAAGTCACTCGTGTTTCTGAGTCTCTGTTCTCCGGGTTGTGGAGTCATGATCTTATTCTTGTCCTCATTCTCTCTTAGGGCTGTTGCAGGCATAAATACGCACAGAAAGATTTTCAGGTAAAAAGGGTTTTAAAAAGTCAGTAAGAAGATAGAAATGAGTGTGGGCAAACATTGTGGGGTGCATCTCTCGAGCCTACAGAGAGGCCTGGGGAACGCAAGAGGGAGATAGTGAATACTTCTATACCACTGGTGTTCAAGAGAGTAAGCCATTAACACAAGAACTACATGCACACCTGTTTGTAAGATGAACATGGACTTTAGGAAAAACAAAACACCTACAACAAAGAATGAATAGCTCTTAAAAACAGCGGCCATGACGATGACCTGCTTAGTCGTTGTACATTCGTACTAACCGCTAAATCAGGTGGCAGGCTAGGCGCACCTGTGCTGAAATCCCTACGGTACCAGCATCAACCGGGTCCTGCCACCCCCAGTCTTGTTCAGAGACTGAAGGCAGAGGTATTATTTAGTACATGCTCAGGAAAAGCCGACGCTCTTCCAGCTGAACTGCATCACAATGGCTTAGACCATGCCTCCCATACCCTAGTCCTTCTGTGTTCTAGGCCTAGAAATGCCAGCTCCCCACGGAAGGTCCACGATCCTCAGAGCAGCCAGTGAAGGAGTTCCTGCCAGGTCAGGCAACTTAGTCGTTTCCTTAGAGCATCTTATACCTTTATTTTTGACTGTTTATTTTCTGTTCCTGTTTCATCACCTTGATTAGTACGTGGCAAGAACGCAGCTGTGGGTGTGGGTCCCATGAAGAGGACAGACATGGCCTTACATTCACCGCTTTGTGCCAGGCTGACCCACAGGCAAGACAGATGCAGACACCAGCGCCATACTGCTCACAAGCCCTCCGGATGAGGTTTGGTGACCCTTGCCCCACATCGGCCATGCTCGGTGGAGCGCCACCTCCATCTGCTGGAGCATCTGGACAGGGCAGGGGTGGGCTGTTCTGGGTGGCAGGAGCTGGTTAAAGTGAACCGGTGTGGGCAGACATGTGTGGTGTGTGTTATGTCGGCTGAGACGGGTGGAGGGCCAGGGAAATATATATACAGGGCCCTGACCGCAGGCATCTCTGCAGCTCAGTGCTGGGTAAGCCACCAGCAGCTGGTGGGCACATTCCTCCCTGACCAAACTCAGCCCTCGAGGCAATGCTGACCGTGTCCATCAACTTGAGTCCTGGACCACTTTGGAGTCAGTAGAAAAGGAGTTGAAAGAAAACACGGATGGCGTCTATGGCACCAGTGACTTTAACCAAAGTATTTGGGAGTCCAAACCCAGTGAGAACCATGTCCGTGCAGCTGTGTGCATGAGGATGAAAGGGCTCACGTCAGGACTGGTCAGGCAGTCCCAAACACTAACACGTAACCGTTCACAATTCTGTAACAGACAGGGAAAAGTCACCTCATTAAGAAAGCCTTCATCACAAACAAAACAAGCTGCCCTGTAACTTGGACGCTTCCCCGGGGATGTTTCCTTTCCTAAACGATGCCCAGTCTCCCCTAGGACTCCCCAAGGGGGCTGAGTTTGTTTGGCCTTTGCCCTGAGGAGCATGAGCTGGGGGTCGGGTGGGGGAGCCCCCAGTCTACAGAGGCTGAACCAGCTGGTTCTGGCTTTGTTTAGGTTTGCAGAGCCTGGCCTCCTATGGTGGTCTGGACTTGGAACCCCGAGGAAGCATTCACTTTTTGAGAATAGTGGCGCACTCTTCACGAGGGAACCAGAAAGTGGCTGTTACCATGCATGTGCTAAAGTAAATGTTAACCAGGAGACTTAGATTCTCTTTTACTGCTCTAGGTTCATGGGTCAATGGCTCTCACAGTCGTTTAATTTCTCTGTCTTAGAACTGAGAGCCACTGAAAAGACAGTATTGCAAGTGGGGAAGGACAGCCAAGCAGCAAGAGGAGGGACTGACATAAATATTTCAGGTAGACGGCCTGCAGGTATCCCAGAAGGCCCGAAGTTTGCCCGCTCCCTCTTCCCCTCCCCCTCTGTTTTCTGAGACAGAGTTTCTCTGCAGACCAGGCTGGCTCTGAGCTCAGTGATCCGCTTCTGTGCTGGGATGGTGATGAAGATTTCTTCCAGCTTTTGTTTCTAATGTATTTTCTAATGTATTCTTTTCCTTAAAAGCATGAGCTCTGAAGCTGGGCAAAGGTGGAGCACGCCTTTAATCCCAGCACTGGGGAGGCAGAGCAGGTGGATCTCTGAGTTCTAGGCCTGCGTGGTCTGCAGAGTAAATTCCAGGACAGCCAGGGCTACACAGAGAGATCCTGTCTAAAAAGAACAACAACAATAAAAAGGCCCGAGCTCTCTCATCGTCTAGTGTCTTCCCAGTCTTAAAATGGATGTGCACTGTAGCCGAGTGGTCTGTTCCCCACAGTGAAACTGTTGTGCTTATGAAAACGGTTCCTTTTGAGGAGCAGGGATGGTGCATTCTGCACGGGATGAAAGTAAATAGGACAACCAGGGCCATCAAAGACTCGTCAGGCAGAGGAGCTGGGGCATCTGACGGAGGGAAGCTAGTAGAGAAAGGTACACTCCTGCCAGGAAGGCAAGGGTCGCAGCAAAGTCGGGGGCCGAGCGCATGCCCAACAGGTTAGCCCAGGACAGTGACCTGCGGGACAGCTCGGCAGGCCCCTCGCTGGATACAGGGAAGGTTGGTGAAAGGATAGAAGATGGAGTCAGAGCAGAGAGAGTTTAAGGAGGAACTGAACATAAACACGGTAGAACACAGTCCCGCAATCGTTAGAGACATCAAACCCGTACTCCTTCAGTGAACAGAACCCACCGGGCTCTTGCTTATTTCTGTCAGATGGTCGAAACATGGAAGAACCCTATCCCATGTGAACTGAAGGGGAGAGAAAGGTCGTCATTCTATTCTGTGGTTGTTACGACCTCATCACGTCTACTGTGTGACAACTGAAGCCAGACAAGGAGGTTTTCTTTTCCTTTGAACAAAAATTTGTCTTTTTTTTTTTTTTTTTTTTTTTTTTAAATAGCATTTACGATAACATTTCATTTATTTGGGCTGGCCTCAAACTCACTAAGGACAACTAAATCCTGGCCTACCGCCATCTCTCAAGAACTGGGATTACAGGCGTGAGCCTTCACACCGGCATGAGATACCATCTTTATAATTAATAAGGCTCAGTGTCCTTAAGCAACTACAGGACTCAATCAAAATTCTACGTCAAGATTCTGAGTTGGGCCTGGCGTTGTACAGTCCCCTCACTCACACTCTCTCATTGTGGGTGATTTAGGATCAGAATCTGCGTAATCTTGGCCCAGCATTCCCTGGGTCCTGCCGGGAGTAAGCTGACAGCTCTCTGCAGTGTGCTAAGGGCCTCCTCTGTAGGAGAGCTGCGGCTCTTCAGACCCAATGCTCAGGGTAAGCTTAAGTTTGAATGATGTCTTTGCAAACCCTTTTTATTACACATCTAAAGCCACTTTTTCCAAGAGGCTTTATCAGTAATAAAACTGACATTCTGATTGCATTAGCCTGTCTCTTGTATCCTCTCTCCCAAATGGTTCCAAATGTCGAGGGGGAAGAGGGTGCCTTTTCTTGTGCATCCTCAAGCCACAAGCAGACACACAGCAATTACATCTCATAATAATTAAGGAGGAGGTATGGGTCTCTGGAGAGAAGTGAAACAGCGAGGCAGAACAGGCGGTGTGGAAGCGGACGGCTGGGAACCCAGGAGTGGTGGGGCTATAGCAGGAAGCCTGTTGTAAGGGATCCAGGCTCGGTCTGAGCTTAGGAAGGAGCTGACGCTTCTGGTGAAGAATCAGGTAGGGCTGTGGCTGCCTCTTTCCCTGCTGTTGTAGGTGACCAACACTTGGGTTGGGTGTCACCTCAATTATATGTTCTGCAGGCAGAGATGAAGCACCCATCACACGACCCTCCTGAGAGGCAGGGACACACAGACATCTGCAGGCAGAGATGGAGCACCCATCACACGACCCTCCTGAGAGGCAGGGACACACAGACATCTGCAGGCAGAGATGGAGCACCCATCACACGACCCTCCTGAGAGGCAGGCACACACAGACATCTGCAGGCAGAGATGGAGCACCACACGACCCTCCTGAGAGGCAGGGACACACAGACATCTGCAGGCAGAGATGGAGCACCACACGACCCTCCTGAGAGGCAGGGACACACAGACATCTGCAGGCAGAGATGGAGCACCACACGACCCTCCTGAGAGGCAGGGACACACAGACATCTGCAGGCACTTTTGTCACCACAGGTATTGCTATTGTATTGTTTTGTATTGATTAAACTTGGATCCTTTCCCCGTATTTGGGCACTGGGGTCAGCATCAAGCTTTGATGGCCATTTCCATATTCGGAGTAGAATTCTTTCATCAGCTGAGCACTTGTCCAAGATGACTTCTTCTTAAAGAAAGAAGTCTGGCCAGGCAGTGGTGGCGCACGCCTTTAATCCCAGCACTTGGGAGGCAGTGGCAGGTGGATCTCTGTGAGTTCGAGACCAGCCTGGTCTACAAGAGCTAGTTAAGGTTATGGTTATGGTTTAGGGTTACAAAGTTACAAAAAAATAAAAAAATAAAAAAAAACAAAGCTACAGAGAAACTCTGTTTCGAAAAACCAAAAAAGAAAAGATGTCTGAAACATGGGACAAGAACAAAGGTCAGAGATCAGCCAGAGATGCAATTCTCCTGTTACCCTCCAGGCCCATCTTCACGGCCCAGGAGAGATGAAGTCAGTACTACGCTATCCATCTCACGCCTTACGCCATCCTCGCAGCAAACCGGAGAGATGAGTGGGTGAGGGTCAACAATGAGGAAATCAAGTTTCAGAGACACCAGACTCTAAATCCACGCACTGTACAAGAACATCTGGTTCAGCCTGAGCTCCTTCCAGGAGACCAGCCAGTGCCAGCCATCACCTTGGGGCCTGAGTTCCACCGACAGGGTCTGGTAAGGTATCACCCGCTGTTCCAGGACACAAACTTCAGGATCCCCAAACGCACGAGCCCACAGTTTCCATTTACTCAGGCCACTTTAATGCTGAGACTTTACGCGACAGCCTGTCCTCATGGGCCAGCACACAGTGACAAAAGGCGCGTTTTAGTAGCATCCTTGGGCTCAGATTCTAATTCTAGCTGCTGGTCCTGATGCTTATCTCAAGGCCCCATTAATCCCAGCTGACTTCCCTTATTGCTTTGCCTCTCCCCCAGAGGGTGCTCTGCTGCCTGAGCCAGAGTGGAGCTTAGGTTACAAGCAGACCGGCTGCCTGTTCTCTTGTCAGGTGTCACTGCAGAAGAAAGCTCAGCAGGAGGGCGCAGAGCCACGTGGGCGGCAGACAGAGATACTCACCACCTGACCATGAGTCCGTGCTCCATGAAGTTTTTCAGGTTAGGAAGGGTTTGCCTCAAGTCTGGAGTCCCCAGGCCATGCTGGTATCTCAGCTGCAACAGGAGGAGAACAGCATTTTAATTTAAGTGTACGACGGCCGTCTCAGCTGCACAGAGGGACAGCACAGTTCTTCACGTGGTCAACCTGCGTCTTGGTCTGGTCTTTTCCATTCGCAGACCTCTGTGAGCTTTCCTAACGCCGTTCACACACCTCACCAGGAGTATTTAAGCTAGAAGAGATTCACTTTTTTTTTAATTTTATGTGTATGACTGTGTTGCCTGTGTGTGTGTGCACCACACGTGGCCTAGAGCCCAGAGGCCAGAAAAGCACGTAGGATCTTTTGGAACTGGAGTTACAGGAGGTTGTGGGCCACTATGTAGGCGCCAGAAACTGAACCTTGGCCTTCTACGAGAGCAGTAAGCGCTGCTAAGCACAGAACCTGCAGTTCTGTGTATATGTGGTGTGCCTGTGTGTACATTTGCACAGAACTGCCTGCAGCTCTGTGTATATGTGGTGTGTCTATGTGTATGTTTGCATGCATAAGTATATGCCCGAGGAAGCTAGGAGAGGTGCTGGGGTCCTCTGGAGCTGGAGTGCTTAGGGAGCCACTAGACGCGGTGCTGGGAATCCAACCCTGGTCTCTGCTAGGGCACTCCATACTCTTCTCACTGAGCCCCTCTCCGGCCCCTCAGAGATTTTAATATACTTATGTCATTTTCACAGAGGCTCTGGGTTTCTCTATAGCATTCACTGCGTCTTGTGTGTGAATGGGGGGGGGGGCTGCTGAGTTTTATCCTTAGTTTTATCCAAAGATAAAAGAATGAAAAATAAAGTGAATTTAAGAGTTAAGTAAGACTTTGTTACCAAAAAGATTAATTTAACACACAAGCATCTAGCACTCAGTTGATTTTTCAGAGTTTACTCTCTGGGCCTGAGATGATAAAGGGAGAATCACAAAACACAGGCGAGCTTCTAGGATGTTCTGAGTGAACACACGTCAAGTCGGGAGGCAGACGCCTATGGTGTGAGAGATGGAAGGTGCCTTAGCTATTATTTAAGCTAGTGGTAAATTTCTCCAGACCACAGGTTCATCAGGGCAGACAACACTAGTCTGGGCCTGTTTTTCACAAGCCTTTCTGTTCCATCCGCTCTGACAGCTGGGGAGAAAATTGGTAACAGCTCTTGAGAGGCCACAGGAAAATATTCTCTCCCTTTCAAACTTAGTTTGGTGACCCAAATCACCTCCTGAGATTTGCTAGCCTTGAATTATAAGATCTACTCCATATTAAATGACATCATTCCTTATATTAATATAAAAGCATTTTTTCCATACATTGATAAAAGCAAAATGGCTGATATCCCAATATGACATTCCTGAATTCATTGTTTCAATAAAAAGTGAAATTGTTTACACATGGCATAAAAATTTCACCTGTGATTCATACTGAAAAATATTAAATATTAAAAAAAAAGTCCATGTGGACTAGCAGGAAACTGTGTCTCTGGGCCAGCACACAGTCAGCTGCCTTCACAATGGAAGGCAGGGGTTGAGTTGTTTGAGACCACAGTGAAAGTTTCTCTGTAAAGTATGATTTAGAGAGAGAGAGAGAGAGAGAGAGAGAGAGAGAGAGAGAGAGAGAGAGAGAGGGAATGAGCCTCCAGTGAGGCCTTAACCATTTGTTCTGTTGCACTACCGAGTGAGCTAGCAGGGCTCGGGGAGAAGACTGGACTGTGAGCTAGCAGTGCTCGGGAGAAGACTGGACTGCCTTCCCAGTCCTGTAAATGAAGAAACCGAGGCTGACAAAGGCACCTGGCCCCTCAGCTGTTCCGCATGGCCTTCTGATTACAGCTCTGGGTTCCACCCGCCACGCTTGTGCTCAGTTATCAGCAGAGAGAACTTAAGGAGACTGTCTGTGCTGTGGTTCTGACAGTTGAGGGCTCTCCTTGCATAAGCAAAGCCTTGGGTTCGTTCCCAGCACCACATAAACTGGGTGTGGAGGCAGAGGCCTATGATTCCAGCACTCAGGAGGCTGATGCAGGAGGACCAGAAAAAAGCTGAGGGTCATCTTGGGCTATATATAGAGTTTAGGATTAGCCTGGGGTACATGAGACCCTGTCTCAAGAAAAAAAATGTTCCTATCATATGTATTTCTGATGGGGATTCCCCTCATAATGCTGTGAATATGTTTTTATTACCATTGGTTAATAAAGAAGCTGCTTTGGGCTATGGCAGGGCAGAATATAGCACAGCAGAAAATCCAAGCAGGAGGGAAGAAGATGGAGTCAGGGAGACGCCAAGTAGTCGCTGAAGGAGAAAGATGCCAGAGCATCGCCGGTAAGCCACAGCCTCATTGCGATACATAGATTAATAGAAATGGGTTAACTTGAGATCTAAGAGCTGGCTAGGAATACACCCGAGCCACTGGCCAACCAGTGTTGTAATTGGTACAGTCTCTGTGTGATTATTCGGGTCCGGGCGGCCGGAAAACAGAAGCACAGTCTCTGTTTACAGTTTCTGTTTAAATGCAGGGTTTAATAATAAAATGCTGGGAGGACCTCAGAAACCTAAAGCACCACAGTCACCATGAGCCAATACCAACGCCTGCTCTCCAGGGACGGCCTTGGAAACCTGAAGCACCACAAGTTTGCCAATGAGCCAATACCAGCGCCTGCTCTCTGGGAGCAACCGCTTCCAGCTGCTCCTTCCTAAACCACATTTTCAGCAGCACCCACCATGCTCCATCTGAGGACGGTGAGAACCCAGCCACTTCTCGTTCACACAATCTTACCCACTCTCACTGCATCGGGAACTCGACTCTCCATCCACCCCACATGCTTTCCTCTTACTGTCTTCAGTACAGTCAGTATCATTTTTATTATTTTTGGAAACAAGGTCTTATGTAGCCCAGGTTGGCCTGAAACATGCTATGTAGTCAAGGCTGGCCTTGAATCCCCGAATTTCCTGCTCCCACCTCCCATGTGTTTGATTATAGGCAGTGCCACCACACTTCATTTCAGCATCCCACTGTTCTTAAATCAAATGTTGAGCGGGTGGTGGTGGTGGTGCACACCTTTAATCCCAGCACTCGGGAGGCAGAGGCTCATGGATCTCTGTGAGTTCGAGGCCAGCCTGGTCTACAGACTGATTTCCAGGACAGGCTCCAAAGCTACATGCTAACTTACTATGCTTCCACAAATAATGCTCAGTTTCTTTCTCGTTGCTTGTTTGAAACAAATAAGCTGCCATTTTTTTCTGCTTGCTGAATCAATACACACTCACACTGTGAAGAAACCTTAATTAACTCTTTCCCCATCTGACTAAGCACACCACGTCCATCCACTAAGTCCATTCCCCCGGCCCCCAGGTGTATTTTCTGGCCAGCCAGTTCACTTATTGGAGTTTCAGCTTTCTTCTGTATAAAGTGGGGATGTTTCTTGCCTCAAAGCATGCAGTGGGTCAAAGCCAGTGTCCGGCCCAGGCAAGTACTCAAGCAAACAGTCTTACTATCATTAATATGCAGGCACATTCTTTCTGTTTGAACACCACTGCACCTACCACGAGGCTGGGCTTAAGACTCGCTCAGAAATAGCTTATTACTTAACTAATTAGAAGGGAACTGGCAAAGGAAGAAATGCGTTACTTCCCATCAAAGGGCAAAATATCAAGTATTAAGCTCGTATTTTAAATGCTAATTCTGACTCTGACTGGAGAGGCAGTGGCGAAAGCACACCTGTTAATAGCGTCATGATAATAACACGGGAACGGGACGACCGACACGTGATGTGGGGGGTCAGGCCCCCGAGGGACAGCTCCAGCGTGCTCTGTGCAAACTTCCTCCTGGGTCGAGCTGGTCAAACATTTCCAAGCTTTTAAAATTTCATGTTCTTTAACAAGTCACCTTAGTAAGGTACTATCAAAACATGAGAGAAAAGGAAAGGGAAGGAAAAAGGGCAAAGTTGGAAAGACAGGCACGGAGAAAGACCTGGACTTACTAAGCTCCGGATGTCTGGTTCAGCCACTCACTCATCAGCACACCTGGCGCCCAGTGGGCAAGCCGTCTTTGGAACCACACACTTAGACAGAACTCTCCTTACCATGTAAGCCCTCCAGCAAGTTATGGAACCAAGAGGACCAACAGCATCCTTCTGGTCTGCCGTGGAGACGGATGAGCATGGACAATTCTGTACTAAAACCCGAGCTGTTGGCTACACCTGTAAGGGATTTTTCTTGCTTGGAGCATTTGAAGCTGGAAGATCCACCTTAAATCTGGGCTCCACCTCACTCTCGCTGATAAATTCATTTCTTCTATGGCATTAGAGCCTTCTGACATATACTGAAGCCCATCTGAGACATCCAGTCTCTTGGGCCAAAGAGCTATTGAATTCTTAGATTCTGTTGGGAGGGAGCCATTGCTGAACTAGCAGGACCACAGCCTGTAAAGCCAATCTAATAAATTCCGTGTGTGTGTGCGCGCGTGCATGTGTGTGTGTGTGTGTGCGTGCATGTGTGTGTGTGTGTGTGTGTAGGGAGAGAGAGGACCTAGAGAACCCTGATTACACATAATCTGATTACAGAGGATGAAGCCTGCCTTACAGGGTAGGAACTGGAGAGGCACAGGCAGGAGAACCCGCATATCAAGGGAGAGATCAGGAGTTCAAGCCACCAAAACGCTCCATTCCTGTTTCCTCTCCTTGCCCCAGCTCCACCAAAGGCCACCATCACTGACCGCCATCACCCCCTGCACCCAGATACTTCCACCTCTCTTCCTACTAGGGAGGGGAAGGACAAGGGACCCAGGCCAAAAAAAAAAAAAATATTGCTTTGGGTCTAACCACCTCAAATTCAGCTCTGAAATAAACACCTTTTGCAGCAGCCTCTTCCTGTACCACCACCCAGAGGCTGGGCAGTTCATAAATGAAATTTTGGTTTCAATTAATCTGAAGTTCAATTTCCTTGGATTGGTCTAGGACGCTCCACGGAACCAATTAAATTGCTCTGCAATTCAGTGGTGGGCAATGAGGATAAAAAGGTGCACGCAGATAATAAAGTAGA